TTAATAAATTAAAACCAAAAAAAAAAAAAGAATTCTAAGACCTAAATTTCAATGATGTGTTTCCTAAAAGGAAGGCTCCTCTTGAAACTGACCCTGTGACTCTAAGAAAACAATACTACAATGATATTTATAACAATACTTTTGTATGTGGCTTTATCATGTATACAACCTATTTTCACATGTCTTTCAAAAGAGAGATATCAGAGTTTGATTATTTCTTTAAGATAAGTTTTTAAAATTCTGATTTATCTGACTATACCATCTTGATAATTCCATGGAAAGCTGCAAACCCTGATTCCCTAGGCATTAATACCTCCTTGTCCCTTACTTTTAAGACACTGATCATCTTTATACAAAATTTTTATCTTGAAACAATCTGGAAATTTAATGGAACTGGAACATGTGGGAATTTTTTTCTCTCAAAAATTTTTCTTTCAAGACATTTTTAAAAGTTACAAATCACTATCAATATTTTTAAATGTTTCAGAATGAAAGTATGTTACCTAGATTATGTGATCTTGACATTTACTTATTTTATCAGCCAAAGAGAATTATACTGACTAGCATAATAATGAGTGACATGTACATGATAAGAAAATATCTCTTTGCATATAACAGTTGGCCTGAAATTAATTCAGATACTCTTCATTTTCACTAAAAAAATATAGCATACTCTCAGACTACTTTTAGGGATTAATTCTATAGGAATGATCAGATAAGCACACAGATATATTTTATATATACAAAAGTATTCATATGAACACTATTTGTAATGGTGAAAAATTATAAATAACTTATATGTTTAATAGGGAATGGATTATATAAATTATGGTCAATCCATACGATGTAATTCTATGCAGTCATTAAAGAGATGATGTAAATCAGGATTCATTGACACAGAAAGATGCTCATGTTGTGTGTTTAATAAGAAAACACATTTAGTTCCATTCTTTTTACATGGAGTTGAATGTAAGTATGACTGTAAGTTGCTGTGTGTGCAGAGAGGGGACTGAGGATTCATTCACCAAAATGTTAATAACGTGTTATTTCTGGATGGTATGATTTTTATTTTATTTTTATCCTTTTCTGTAATTGAATTTTTTTACAATGACAGTGTGTCATTTTTTATAATCCAAAAATAAAAGCCATTTTCAGTTCTAGATATTTTTTAAAATCCAAAAATAAAAGCCATTTTCAGTTCTAGCTATTTTTTTTTTTTTTTTTTTTATTTTTTTTTCGGTACGCGGGCCTCTCTTTGTTGTGGCCTCTCCCGTTGCGGAGCACAGGCTCCGGACGCGCAGGCTCAGCGGCCATGGCTCACGGGCCCAGTCGCTCCGCGGCATGTGGGGTCTTCCCGGACCGGGGCACGAACCCGCGTCCCCTGCATCGGCAGGCGGACTCTCAACCACTGCGCCACCAGGGGAGCCCAGTTCTAGCTATTTTTTAAAAGACAGGCTTTAATCCATTTGTGAGGAAGAACCATGATTTGATTCAAAATACTGCACTTCAAGATGTGGAACTAAACTAATCCAGTGCAAGTTTACCAAGGACTATCTCCTTTTTCTCTTTGACACATTTTACACAAATGAGAGGCGTTTAAAGAATAGATGAAGAATATCAAGCACATTCCCTCTTCTCCGTCAAATTAAAATTTGTTTTATAAGTGAACAGGTAGGTCAGAATGAGTGGTTTTAATCTATGAGATAATCTCTATCCACCGTCTCTCTGGGGTTTCTAAGTAGGGTAAGGAAAACAAAGCTTAAAGGCTGTAAATCATGTCAGATCCAGAGTTTGAGTAAATAAGTTAGATTTATAAAAACATCAATTGTATTTAAATCCATGAATTCTTAATGATATTTTAAAAACATGTTGATTACATTTGTGTATGCTAGGGAACTACCTCTTTATTTAGAAAAATAATAAGGAAAGAATAAAGCATTTACCAAAAAAAAAAATCAGAAAATGCTGAATTCAGTAGTAATTCACTGCAGTACAATTTTAAGCATTAAAAAAGTAAAATCTAGCCAAAAAGCACATTAAATTGATACCATTTTGAGAGTTTTTGTTTTACTCATTTATTTATTTATTTATTTATTACATATACGTCCTGCAAATTATGGTTTGGAGAAATGAGAATTAAAGTCCGATAAAAATGCTGTATAAAGAAATGCCCTTCCAGAAAACACTGCTTTATTTTTCAAGTTAACAGAGAAAATATGACCATTCATGGGTGTTTTCTTTCATCTTTTACCTTTTTTTAAAAAATATTTATTTATTTATTTATTTATTTTTGGCTGCGTTGGGTCTTCGTTGCTGCATGCAGGCTTTCTCTAGTTGCAGAGAGTGGGGGCTACTCTTCATTGCAGTGAACAGGCTTCTCATTGCGGTGGCTTCTCTTGTCGCGGAGCACGGGCTCTAGGCGTGCAGGCTTCAGTAGTTGTGGCTCGTGGGCTCTAGAGCACAGGCTCAGTAGTTGTGGCACATGGACTTAGCTGCTCTGCAGCATGTGGGATCTTCCTGGACCAGGGATCGAACCTGTGTCGCCTGCGTTGGCAGGCGGATTCTTAACCATTGCGCCACCAGGAAAGTCCCTCATCTTTTATCTTCTTGATTTAAAATAGACCCTAGCTAAAAGGAACCTTAAAATTACATATTCTAAATCTTTCCTTTTATAAATAGAGGAATTGAGTCAGACAATTTTAGTTAAGGTCACAGAGTAAAGTCAAGTTAGACCAATGCCTAAAATTCACGCCTCCTGATTTCCAGTCCAATCAATGGTCTTTTCACTGAACCTCTTGAATTGGCATCTGGTAACTACATAATATCTAATAAAAATAGGAACACACACACATATAAAGCATATATATCACTCTTCTAATTACCCTTTAAACAAATTGCTCATTAAAAAAGCATCAGATAAAGCTTCAGCATAATCAGGCTTTTCAGTAGTTGCCATTCTCACACAAAAGAATAAAAGATATACATTTACTCATTCATTTATTCAACAACCTTTTAATAAGAATATGGCTTAAGTACCTAGTCACACATATGTGTATGTCATTCACCTTGAAGAGCACTGTTTTAGAAGATGCCAAGAGCTAGGCTCATGCTTTCAAAGAGTAAGGTGACAATATAAGTGTGGAAAATGCAAATTTTTAAACTAGAAATACCAATGAGAAACAAGCTTCTTTATCATAGCCTTTAGCTCTATCAAAACAATAATATTTGTTTGCTAAGTACAAAATAGGAAGGCATACTGTGGTCTGAAGTCACTCTTTGCTACCCTAGCTCCAGGAGCCTGGGGGCTGAGTAAGAGCCGTGGTTTGACCATAGTGTGAGTACTTCTAAAGGAAGAATGCCCTTGTTTCATGCTGTGCCATCCCAGTCCCCTTCTCCCTGCCCTTTACCCTCTTCTTTAATCCTGTGGCAGAATCATGTTCTGGCTCCTACTTGCCTTTGATACAGATTCTGAACCGCTCATTTATTCTTATCATTCAAAACATTTATCCTTCAAACTTCTGATAAAATTTATGAACTTCCTCAAACAATGTGTACTTGCTTTCAACTGAATGCAATTTTATCCCTTACTAAATTAAAAAGGAGAATCATTATTAATCAGTCAATTAAAAAATAATAGTCTTCATTGCATACCTACTATGTGCCTGGGAGAAATAAATATAAACATTCCATTGCAGAAAAGATCATGGGCAAAGTCATAGAGACCTGGGAGAAGAATTAACATGTCAAGTTCAGGAGAAAATGAGAACAGCCTCCCCGGAAGAAGCAAGCTGCTCAGACCAGAGACAGCGATAGGAGGCAAAGGGCCTTAAAAACCTTGAAAAGGAGTTTCTATGAGAGAAGGCCTGGACTGTGGAAACACACTCCTGGAAAGTAATTCTCCATACTTGTTCATCTCAGCTCTGAATCAAAAAATCCAGCATGTTTTTATCTTTCCATGAAAATCAATTAAGAAAGAGAGATGTATGCAGAACTTTCTCTCTCTCTCTCTCTCTCTCTCTCACTCACACACACACACACACACACACGCACACACGCACGCACGCATGATATCATTCCTTTTTTCTTCTGCAGATAAGGCAACATCAGATTAGGTGTCTTGCTTAGGAAGCTATGGTGGAAAGAGAGGCATAAAAAGAATAGAGATTCTTTATAGATAAAGAATGAGAATTAAGAGAATGGGGGCAGTGAAGACAGAGAAGAAGGAATTTTCCTTCTCAAATAAGAAAAAGAAACAGAGGGTAAGAGAAGTTGAGGGTAATAAAAAACAGAATGGAAGACATCATAATGGGATCCTTAATTGAATTTGTGTCTACTCTCAGTCCTGCGCCTGCAGCTGAAGGAAACCCTTGGTAACTCACTCAACATGAAGCTACATGGTCATTTTGGCACAGAAGAAGCAGACAGCGATGAGCTTTCTCTCCCAGATTGCAGCTCTGCCTCAGGATGAAATTGTTCTGATCAACATTTCCCCATCTGGCAGGCAGGCGGCCAAAAGATTGGAGACCTGAAAATGGGTCACTGCGTTTTGACTCCCTGCAGCAGGCCATACATGTAATGTAATATTTACACAATTCAATCTAATATCCGTCATGCTGAGCACCATCCAATGGAAAATGTTATGTTTTTCATGAAAGAAATAAAAATAAAGGTGACTGCTACGGTAGTACCTGACTCCCAAGGCCTAAGCCTTTCACAAACTTTTTCATTTTAGCTTGATCTTGACTGATGAAAATAACTTTCCACTGTTTGAAAAGCTAAAAATACACAGAGTTTAACTACTATCATTTACTTAGAAAAAGCAGCCTTATATAGTAACAACTTCTAATTTAGAAGACAAGAGTTGGGGGTTGGGGGGAGGGACTGAAATGCTCATTAGCCTTCCCCAAAGGCCCTGGCACAGAGTTTTCCTGACTATTCAGAGATTAGCATCCTATATTTACTTACCAGGGACAATTTATTTTTCTTTTATATTTTCAAAGCACTTGAAATGATTCCTTCTCTTTGTGATGATTTCCATATGCTGTTTCCAATGAAAGGGCGATGGCTTACTGAGTGAACATAAGGCCACATTCTGAAACCATTACATGCCATCTCACAGGGAGAGATCCTGAGGACTGCAGAAGCCCTTCTTACAATACTGAGATCCGGATCTCAAAAGGCATTGCAAGGAAGACGGCAGATAACCCTTCAATTTTATAAAGGTTGGTTAAATAAAATTAGAATAACCACAAATGTGATAGCAGTAATTTTTAAAAACCCTTGAATGTTTCCTGTGTGTTAAGTAATTTGCATGCTCAATTTCCAACCCTGAGAACAATCCTTGGAGCTAGGTGTTAACACTATCCCCATTTTATAAATGAGAGAACTGAAGCCCAGAGACTAATATGATTGAAAGAGTCAGAGTTTACTTGCTTTAAACAGAGCTCAACATAAATATAGGCAAATAATTCTTCATGGCTTGAGGTATTTTCCTTTTAAAAATCTGTACTCAGCAGAAATCAACACAATACTGTAAATCAACTATACTCCAATAGAAAAAAAATCTGTACTATTTTTAAGAGGGACAATCATTTTATTTGGCCTTGTGAAATGTATAACTTAAAAGTATCACAAGACATATTATTAACTGATTCCTTGGATCTCAGATTCCTCACCTGTAAAACTGGTGACATTTTTTTATCTATAAAAACAGCAATTCCATTACATAGTATGCTATTTTACAGATAAGGAAACTGAGGCTCAGAAAAATGTGTTTAAACCTACACGGTAAGTGGTAGCCAGCATTAAAATGCTCGTATCCTTTCAATGGGTCAGTTTCCAAATAATATCTAAATAAGATCATCTCTTTTTTGAAGGAGAAATGAAATTAAGACAAACTAGAAAATATAATAAAATTCTTTGCTCTAGGTCTGACACTGAAGTCAAAATAAACAGGATCTATGTATCAAATTCTATTTGACACTCCTTAAATTCTTCTTCTCTCACTGGGAGAATCAATGTCAGAGGAAGAGGAAAGGTTAATAGAATTTTTAACCAAACATCTACACAAGAAGCGGTAGTAATAATTCATTTAAATAAAGTGTTCTAAAGACCGGCCAGTAGGCTGTTACATTATGAAAAACTGAAAGGGATGAAGAGGAACTATGAAGAAAACAGCTCAAAGTCATTCTCTAGGACCAGTATGTTAATCATCTAATGATGGGAACATAACGGCATGGTCAGGGTTCCCAGGAGAGAGTTTTTCATATTTATCACTGTGAAAGACTGGACTTCTTATAGCAATTTCTCATGGAAATGTGTGCCAGCTACACTGGCGTCTTCACAGTTCCTTGAATGTGCCAAGCATGCTTCTGTCCCAGGGCTCTTGTACTTGTAGTGCCCTATGCCTGGAAGACTTCCCCCATTATCTGCCAAGCCAACTGGAACTCCCATGGACTTTTATTTTCAACTAAAAAATGAGAAGGAGCTCTAACTAATGTTTAATCCACTTTCATATATGGATTGACACCAGTACCCTGGTCCAGTCTGGTCCAGATAGTTATGAGTTTCATACAGTACTTGAGGTGACGCCACCGAGCAGGGGACAGGGGCTCCTAACACGGCAGAGGGGAAAGAGGCTTCCTCATGTGTTCATTGTCTTGCAATATATTATGTTTTACGGTGCTTGATTAAATGAATTTCCATGTTATTATCTAGTTTTAACCCTCACAAAATGACACAAGTTAAAAATATTCCTGAAAGGCAGCTATTGATTAAAGATAACATCTACATTTCAGGCACAAGAGAAAAAGATATATATTCCTTCAGAAACTCTTCATCAGCCATGTAGCGAGATTAAACACCATTACTGTTTAATCATATGTGACAGGTTGGTAAAATATTCAAAATTACCAAGAACACTATTTGGAATACGGATTTATATCCACTGTTGTCAGAGAGGAACTTTTGCTTTATTGTGCTCTATGATATCAGCTAGTGTTAGTATGAAGTAGTCAGGACTAAGATATTTCATAACCAAGCATCCAGAGCATGAAAAACTTCCAGATTTGTTTTTTTTTTTTAACAGTGGTTGAAGTCAGGCAATACTCGATTTAAAGCATTACAGAATTAAACCAAATGATAATGTTTAGAAAGCGTCTCATGGATGCATTTTAAAATGGTTAAAATAATACAATATGGCAACAAACCGAGATATATTTTTTATCAGCAAATATTGTTGAAGATGTAAAGAAAAACCGGGAAATTGCTAGAAATAAAATTAGACCAACCTACATGTTGGAGGAGTTTTGCTGTAAAGTTAAATAAAAGAATATATGTTTCTGGTATATCCCAGCCTACAGTATTTTCTTGATTCCATTTCAACACTGAAATAGATGAAGAACTACTCCTTTGGAGAGCCGATACAGAAAAATACTGGAGATAAGTTCTCAAAATAAACGAATTCTTTAATTTAAAAAAAAATCAATGTTTTATGGGAAAAATGTAAATAAAACCACTGATGAAGTAGCCGCCTTAACAGGGATTAACAAAGAAAAGATTCTAGGGTAGGTTATGAAGTGCCTCACATAAAATTCATTCAGTACATTATTTGTAGGAAAGTTACATTGAAGAGAGAAGCAAAATAAATGGAAGACAAAAGTGCAAAAGTGCTGCAGGATATCATCAATATGGTTAATTGAATAAAAACTCACATTTAATATATACTGGAATCTATAAAGCATGTGATATCGGGAGTGCAGGGGGTCGTTCAGAGCATGCACTTTGGTGTCCAACTGGCCTCTGTCCTAGGCCTGCCTGGACCTGCTTTACAACCTTAGTTATTCACCTAACTTCTCTAAGGCTCAGTTTTCCCATCTGTGAAAAAAAGGATAGTTAAGCCTACTGTGAATGATATAATACATAAAGCACTTAACTGTACAGAGATTTTTTTTAATGTTATGGTTATTTTGATGATATGATGGGGAGACTTTGAAGTATTTTTAGAAGTGGTATAACAGGTGATTTAGAACAATCTCTCTGGCAGCTCTCTGTATCATGAACCTGAGAAATGTGAAACCCAAAGCAGGGAGACAGCTAAAAGGCCAAGGTAGTTATCGAAGAGACAGCTAGTGAAGGCCTGAGCTGAAGGAGTGGGAGTAGCACACCGAGCAGGAAGTGAGTGAGCTACTGAGAAGGTAAATTCAGTACCGCCAGTTTCCACCTCAGTGCGTTGGTTTCATACCCCTTTAATGTGTCTTAAGCTACAGGGTAAAATTCTCAAACATGGTCCTACTGCTAGAAAATTTTTGCTTCAAAAATAAAGTAGCATGCATATATACACTAATATATATAAAATGGATAACTAATAAGCACCTGCTGTATAAAAAAATACATAAAATTCAAAATAAATAAATAAAAAATAAAGTAGCATGGAATTCCCTGGTGGTCCAGTGGTTGGGACTTGGCACTTTCACTACCGTGGCCTGGGTTCAATCCCTGGTCAGGGAACTAAGATCCCGTAATCTGCAGACACAGCCAAAGACAAAAACAAATAATAATAATAATAAAGTAGCATGTCATATTTGTTAAGAAGACATGGGAAATCTGATTAGAAAAAAAATTTTAAATCTATCCTTCAGAAGACAGAATTATGAAAGTTTCTAGTCTGTTTCTATTTCATTTCCTAAATTATTTGTTCCAGAAACAAAAGTTTCAAATAGTGATCTGACACTAATTTAAATTAGTGAAAATATACTTAAAGTCAGAATAGAAGAAGTAGGTGTAGTTTATGGGACTACAAAAATCTTTCCACCATGGTCTGTTGAGGTCTTTCTTCCCTTCTTAACTGGCTGTTCAAACTACACTAAACCCCAAAATGTGTGTAGGAGCTTAGAAGACAAACCCCAGAGTCAAACTGGGTGAACCCCAGGTCTGCCCCTACCTACCTGTGTGACCCAAGGAAGTCACTTAACCACTTTCTGCCTCTGTAATGGGGATCTTAAATGGGGGTAACCTCACAGGGTTCTCCATTATATTTAAAAGGTGATCAAAGAATTGTCCAGCACCCAGTAAACATTAATATGAGTTTCTTAAAATTATCTCCAGAAGGCAATAAGATGTTGGGAGGAAAATGATACTCTGAACATTATTATAGATTTTTTCTGGAAAAAATAATCTGTGTCCTAAAACGGTGAAATCCAAGCCAGGTAAGTTTTGATAAAGGAAGGAGTATTGCCTAAGTAGGATCAGATAGAACACAAACACATAGTTCTGTTCAGGAAAAGTCATCCACTACATTGTTTTATCAGTGCAGTACCCACACTGCTTCCAAAGAAAAGTGGAGAAGCTAGTCTTGGGTGAGTAAGATTATAAAAAACCAAAAACCAATGGATAGGAAAACTATTTGTTACATAATCAAGTGACACAATCTTTCATTTATAATGTTTCAAAGAGTAAATCCACCACATTTTTTAGTACTTTATCTGAAACACACCAGATTTATACACAAGTTAAGGAAAACTACATCCAGACCGTCATAACACAAAACTATATCTACTATCGCTGATGATCTGCCACATGCCAATGGATTTCACAAAGACTTTGAAGATAACAGTTTGTTGAGAATGCGGCCATTTCTGCTTTTTAATAATAAGAAAAGAATGGTAAATAATTCAGAAAAATTAAGTGCCTAAGATAATTCAATACTGTAAATATGTTCTCACTGAGGTGGTCAAACAATGAAATATTCCCCAAAGAGCAAATGTTATATCTGTTTCTCAGATGAGCTTTTAACTTCATGAAGTTGTTTACTCTTTCAGATTATTTAATGAAGCCGATGCAGGAATTCTCCATTTCCTTTTACAAAAACCTCATGGCATTTAGTTTCATCATGAATCTGTTAATAAACATTTTGGAGTCCATATATTTTTCAGGTTTATTTACAAGTAAACCAGTTCCCTTTCCAGTCTTGTCTCTCATTGCACGTTAGCTCAGAGATGCGTTTCCTGTAATCGTTACAGGAAGATTATAAAAACCCCTAATGGGCCCTCAGGCCCATTAAAAGAAGAAATCATTACAAATGCTTTTAAAGATCAAATCTTAGATTGGTGACATTCTGATACAATTCTGTATCGAAGTCACTGCAATGTTCAGCATTACTAAATGATATCCTGTTCTCTTATCCAGGATGATGCAGAGTGATATGATGCCCCTGCTAGAGGGA